GGGGCGGCCGCGAGCCGGGAGCGCCTGGACAGCCGGTGCCCCGACGCTGGGGACCTTGCCGGACTCCAGGCGCAGCTGTGACCTCGGTGCTCTCGCTGATGAGCACTTGTGACCGGTTCAGTCCCCCCAGACAGCGTGTGGAGACTGCCGGCGGCCGGCAGGGAGGGGCGAGTCTCTGGGCACATGCCTGGCCGAGGCGGGGTGGACAGGGCTGCGGCCCCCGCAGGGCGGGTCACAGCCTGAGGACCCGCCAGTGTCCTGAGTCCTGCCAGCCTGGGCGGTGCTGGGGTGGGGCGTGGGGGTGCGAGACGGGCAGAGGGGACTAGGATGGGCGTCAATGGGAGGAAGGGTGTAGGGGGGATGGAGGGGGTGGGGAGGGGAGCGGGGCACCTGGGGGCAGGAGGGGCAGGCCGTGCCCCCTGCGGTGGGGTCTGCTGCTCTGTGTGGGTACCTCGGGTGCCAGGGTGCCCCACAGATGGTCCTTCCTCCCCAGGGTGATGGCAGTGGCGAGGGTAGCTGCTGCCTGGACTCTGCCCCCTGGCCTCGAGGCCGTGAGGCGTCTGCAGAGACCGGCGGGGAGCGAGCCCTCGTCCTCCAGAGCCGCGCCCTGTGCCCCGCACAGCGACCTTCTCGCTGAGCGCCCTTCGACCCAAGAAAGAGGCGAGGGCCTTCTCCTGGGATTTCCGGCTCCATGTAAGTTCCTTTGTGGTTATTGGTCGGGGCGGGGGGAGGGGAGGGTGATGCAGGCCGCCCCTCGTCCTGCCCCAGCCTGCACCCCACAGCCGTAGCCTGTATGGTCCAGGCCCCTCCGTCTCCCCAGTGGCTGATGCCACCGGTGCCCTCGACGGAGGGGCCCGCGTGTGCCCGCGGGCCCAGGGGCGGTTCGAGTGACCCGGCACTCTGCACACACCGGCCTCGGCTTCTGGGGCGTCTGTGTGTCTGGCAGAGCTGAGTGGAGCCCGGAAGCCGCCAGCGATGCCCACCTGCCCAGTCTCAGCAGCCGCGTGTGGGCAGCGTCCAGCCGCACAGACAGGCCAGACGCCCACCCAGGCCTCGCGCCTCGGGGCCCTCGCAGGAGTCTCCGTCCTCAGGAGCTGAGGTCTCCACACGCCCGGGGGCACGGCAGGATTCCAGCCCCCCAGCCTCTGAGCTGCTCGAGAGCTGACCGCTCCATTTCCTGCCCCCAAACTCAGACCCCTCCCTGCCGGGTGGGGGCTCCCGGCGCCCCTCGTCCTGCCTGCCCCACACTCGGGCTGCTCTCCACGTCCCACGTCCGCGTGTCCGTGTTTGCGGCATCTGGAGGAGTTGAGTGACACCCCGCGGCGCTGCCCACCTGTGGGCACAGCCAGTGACCGATGGCAGCTCGCGGGCATGACAGGCAGGGGCCCCTGCTGTCCCCGCCGAGCCCTGTGGCGCCCGCACGGCCGAGGCTGTATGAGGCGGGAGGCCCCTCTCCCGATGGGGGGTCCCGGGGCTCTGCGGAGAGCGGGCACAGCTCCCAGGACCCAGATGGTGACTGGGCCAGGCCCACAGGCAGCCCCAGGGGCAGGGTGGGGGCCGGGCTTGCCGTGAGGACTGGGTGGAAAGGTCAGAGGAGCCCCCCACATCTCAGCCTTCTGTGGGGGGTTTCTGTTGGCTTCTCCTCGCCCCCGCCTCTGTGTGGCCTCCGGGTTTCTGGGGTGGAGCGTTCCTGTCTGCTGCGGTGGGCCGGGGCAGGTCCTGGGCCG